AGTTGATCGGAGCCATGGGGGATGGCGATAACCCAGTGTTGCAGCCACACGTGGTTCCGGAGCAGCAGGCCTGCTCCTGGCGCCCTTGGGAGGGGTCTTCCTGGGGACCACGCCTCCCTTTGGTGCTGGGCCAGGAGCTCTGTGGCTGGAAGATGAGCACAGCCACAGGTAAGGGTGGAAGAAGACTCCAGAGGGCGAGCATTTCCAGGCCAGGTTTGTGCATGCAGCTCCCTTCTCTGCCCATTAGAGCACACCAGCCTCACGGGAGCCGGCAGAACTGCCTGAGGACAGCCCTGAGGCTGAGACCTCCACACTGGATGTGTTTACTGAGAAGTTGCCACCCAGTGGGAGGATCACCAAGACAGAATCACTTGTCATCTCATCTACCAGGTTTGAGTCTGCAAGGGCAGCAGATGGGTGGGCACCGTTAAGGCCCACATGAGGAAGCACAGGCCTCCACCCAGTTTTCTGCTGGCCTGTAACCCTGTAGGCCAGTGTAGCCGAGAGGAGTCTCCTGTCCCATGCTGCCATCCCCAGGATGCTAGGGTGGACAGGAAAGGGCACAGGATGCACAAGGAGGCTGATGGCAATGGCAGTTCCTTGTGAGGGTCTGCTGGACAGGGCTGGAGGCAGCAACAAGCCGGAGGGAAGGGTCTGAGCCCTGGTCAGTCAATGGCCAGGATAGTCCCAACTGGGAGGCATCTGGGTGTCCATGGGTGGAAGGTCTTATGGTGATAGGGCCCTGCCCTGGTATGCTTGGGCCAGACCAGGGGCACAGTCTCCAAGTATCCAGGCTGGGGCATGCCAAGACCCTCTCCTTGGCCTTGTTTCCTGGAGGCACGTGGCATCCCCTGCCTCTGATGACCCTTCCTAGCATAGGTTCCACCCGACCCAGCTCCTCACATCACCTCCAGGACTGGCTGTTCTGAAGCTGGAGCCTTCCAGAGCTGATGCTTTTGTCTTAGCTCCTGGCTTCCCTCAATACCACTGTCTGAGACACAACCCACCCTGGAGGCACAGCAGAGCTACTGTGGGTGTCCTGCTGCTGTCTCGGGCTCTGGCTTCTCTAGCCATAAGCTCAGTGCCCCTGCTCTTCTCCTGCGTTGGGACACCCACCTGGTCTCATGGCACATATGTGAGGGGTCTTGGGGGCAACTGTTTACCCTGACCAAAGCCAGACCTCTCGTATCATGGCCTCTACATCAGCTTTAAATGCTGCTCACCAACCCCATTACTATGTGGATCCATTCATAGAAGCCACCTGCATCAGACCCATGGCCCTAGACACACATGTGCACACACACACACGCACACACACACACACACCCCACGGGTGCTGCTCCCACTGACGCTGTAAAAGGCACTAGGTCAGAGGTACCACCCTCAACACTCAGGCTCATGTATATATTCCTGTTATATCCAGGCTTTCAAGGCAGAGTCTGGGCACTGGCATTTACCCATCAGCGTTGCACATATAGGTCTGGAGTGGCACATGGCTCCACTCCTGCCGTTCCTCCATTCCCTGAGGTCCCCTGCCAGGTCACAGATGAGGAAATGGAGCTGAGCACCGGGTGCTATACAGATGCCCAGTTGTGGTCCTGTGTCACTGCTCATGACTTCATAGAGTTGGAGCTCTGGGTGGCTGTCTTTCCTGGTGTAACACAGTGTGCAGCATGTATGAGCTTGTGGTTTGCCCTGCTTTGCCCTGCCCCACTGCCCCACAACTCCCCAGCCTGCCCTGGCTCCCATAGGTCTGAGACGAAGCCAGCTGGCCGCCGGGGCCGGAGCACATCCCTGAAGGAGCGGCAGCCAGCACGACCACAGAATGAGCGGGCCAACAGCCTAGACAATGAGCGCTGCCCAGACACGAGGAGCCAGCTGCAGGTGTAGTGGGGACAGCGTCCTGGGAGCCCATCTGGAGGGCCTGTCAGAAGTGCTCACTGTAGGTGGGATGGGTCACCATGCAGGGTGGTCTGAGTGCATGGTGGGCAGCTGTCCACCTGTCCCCTGGCTTCCACGACTGCTGGCTGCAGCACATGCAGAGGCACCAGGCTAGAGGAAAAGGCTTGGGCATTTGCAGTCTCCTGGTGTGGACGGGCTTGGTGTTTACAGATCCCCAGGAAGACTGTGTATGACCAGCTGAACCACATCCTTATCTCTGACGACCAGCTCCCTGAGAACATCATTCTTGTCAATACCTCTGACTGGCAGGGGCAGGTAGGAGCAGCCTCTGGAGGTGGGGTCATGCAACACAGCTGAGCAGGGCCCTGCCATGCACCTCCTCCCGGGTGCAGAGCTGGAGCAGGGATCCTGGCAACCAGGTTTGCCTGGGCATGCATGGATCTCCATGGACTCCGTGGGACCCAAGGTGGAGTGGACAAGGGCACCAGGCACTGTGCTGAGGCCATGTCTGCCCATCCCGCCCAGTTCCTTTCTGATGTCCTGCAGAGGCACACACTCCCTGTGGTGTGCACGTGCTCCGCTGCTGATGTCCAGGCAGCCTTCAGCACCATTGTCTCGCGGATACAGAGATAGTGAGTCTGTGACAACTTCCCCAGGGTCCCCTGGGAGCTGGGTGCCCAGCACTTTGGCACCCAAGTGCTGGGCACTCCAGCCCTGCCTACTTCCTTGACAGAGAGCACTCCCTGTCCTGGGGGGAGAGGAGCTGGGGGAAATGGCTCCCCACGTCCTGGCCTTGCTTCAGTTTGGGGTGGATGCCTCGAGCCAGGGGAAAAGCAAAGTTCAGTGGTCACTGTGCGCTGGCTTCAGGCACACTTGGGCAGACGCCGTCCCCCTCAGGTGTCCAGGGGTACAGAGTCCAGGGTTTGGTGACTTTCTGGGGTTGTCACTGTAGAAGCAGCTGCAGCTGGGCATCCAGGCCTCCCTGGGGCTTAACAGAGTGGCCCTTGGGAAGGGGACACCTCCCCTGATGCGTCTGTCCCCTCTCTGCCTCACCCACCTTGGGGTTGTAGCTGCAACTGCAATTCCCAGCCCCCGACCCCAGTGAAGATTGCAGTGGCAGGAGCGCAGCATTACCTCAGCGCCATCCTGCGGCTCTTCGTGGAACAGTTGTCCCACAAGACACCTGACTGGCTTGGCTACATGCGCTTTCTCATCATCCCACTGGGTAAGGGCCGTTTCCTGACCACTGAGCAACACCTGGGCTCAAATGGCTCAGCTGCTGTGGTCGGGGATGAGGCACCAATGTGGTATGTCTCTGTTATTTTAAAAATTTCTGTGTGATACAGTGTACTCTTCAGTAGTTAAGTTTTTGTGTGTGTGTGACACCTGGGATCAAACTGGGGACCTTGCAGTTGCCAGGCAGGCACTTATGCTATTGAGCATATATCCCCAGCCCAGTAGTTTAGTTTTATTTAAGTGAAAAGTGACATGATTATCCTTTGGGTCAGAGGACAAAGCCATTGCCCCTGCAGTGCCTGTGCTGAGCTTCTGTCACCTTAGTTAGTCTCTGAGATTCTAGATTCCAGATCTGGTCTCCATCATCAAAAATAAAAAGGAGGGTCCAGTTAGCCCTCTCAGTTACTGGGACCTGTGGGAGGTGAGGTTCCCCTGGTCTGTGCAGTGCCCACTGCTACAAAGCAGACACGGCCAGTCTGTTGACAAGTGTGAGACACTGGTGTCCTGGGAGCCTTGTAGGGAGCTACAGGAGGTGGGATTCCTCACAGCTCTGATGGGCCTGACAGTGTAGCAGAGAGCCCAGGAACACGCAGCTGGGGGGTGGCAGCCTAGCCATGCAGTGATGGCTCCCCTGGCATACAGGTTCCCACCCCGTGGCCAGGTACCTGGGCTCCGTGGACTACCGCTACCACAACTTCTTCCAGGACCTGGCCTGGAGAGACCTGTTCAATAAACTGGAGGCCCAGAGTGCAGGTGAGACTGGGTGCAGTATTGGGTCAGGGAGGGAACACCCCTGGTATCCATAGACCCTGCACTGGGAGAAGGGCTTCTTGTTGCTGAGACCCTTCCCAAAAGAGCCTCCAAGTGCCTTGCCCTTCTAAGACTCAGACAGCAGGTGAGGCTGAGCCTCAGGCTTGCTGGGAAGACTCCAGGCTCCAGGGAGCAGGTCTGATGCATTAGGGAGAAGGCCTTGCACCACCCACTCTGGAACCATGGGTGACACACTGCTCCCTGCAACCCGGATCTCACCTGGCCGCTCCAATGCCAACCCAGCACCACCTCCTCGTGCAGTGCAGGACACACCAGACATCGTGTCGCGCATCACCCAGTACATCGCAGGTGCCAACTGTGCCCACCAGCTGCCCATTGCTGAGGCCATGCTGACCTACAAGCAGAAGAGGTAATGCCGTGGGCCCACCTCACAGCTGCAACCAGCCAATGTCTTCTGTGACCTCCTGCCCACACTGGCCCAATGGGCCAAGCTGGACTGTCAGAGCCTCTGCTGACCCCAAGTCAGACCAGGATTGTGGGCTGGGTTTAATTAAGCACCTCTTTTTATATATGCTGGAGTTTCTCCAATATAGTGTTCCAAGGTTTGGCTTTATGGGTCCTGGTCTCACTGCTTGAACAGTCAGTGTATGTCCTCAGTTGCCCAGAGTAGAAGCATGAGGTGGATAAAGGTCCTGCTGGGCTCGCACCACCACCAAGTGCTGGCATCTTACAGTGTTAGGCCCCCTGCTAGCCAAGCCTCTGGACAGACCTGCAAGCTGCCCCACTTGCACACAAGCAGAACAGAGACTGAGTCTTTGATGGGTGAAAGGAACCCATGTAGGGATGTGCAGACTCTGCATTCATTCCCTGAGGGCAGACAGCAGTGTGCTGCTGATTTCTAAGCAACATTCAACACCTGCCCTAGACTGAAAGTTAAATTAAAGATCTGTGAGGTACAGTAAGGTCCATGAGGATGGCCAGTACTGTCCTGGCTTGAGCCTGTGCTCACTGTTGGTGGAGAGGAAGTGGTGTGCCTGCATGGGTCCTTTTCCAAGCCAGGCCCTGGGCTCACTCAGCTGGGGGCAGGTAGAGTTTCCCGTGCTGCAGAGCTCTCAGCACCCTTAGGTGCCCTAACATGTCTGTGTTTTCTCTTCGGTGGCTTTCTGCAAGGAAAAGGCATTTTCACTTTGACTTTGCCCTAAGGTACAGCTGTCTGGCCTGTCCTCCCTTGTCTGTCCCAGGCTGGTCTTTAGGGCTTGTTTAGCAGTCGGTGCCCAAATCCCCTCCCCTGATGCCCTAGGAGGCAGGAGGTACCCTCAGGCAGGGTCCCTGTGCACTGAGGAGCAAGTGGGATGCCTCCTCTGCCAGCCCTGCATGAGGTGGGAGCTGCGGGTGGCCTTGCAGTTTCTAGGGCCTGTGTGGCCTGCACAGAGCCTGCTAGAGGAGGCCCAGACCGCTGAAAGTCTGTGATTCTGAGGCCAGGGTGGCATTGCTCCAGCTAAACCAGAGGTAGGCACCAGGACCGTGTTGACCTCTGGCCATTGCCACAGAGATCAGGACCTCTTCATGCTGGGCTCTGCCCCAGGCTGATGTACTTGGCCACCTGCGTGCAGCCCCAGGAGGGAGACATCGTTATTGGTCCCCACTGTGCAGAGACATCACGGTGGGAGGTCACAGAGCTGGTAGAGGACATCTTTCCTCAAGCCACCATCTTCTCAGCCTTGTCTGGCTCCATGATTGGCAGAGGGCAGAGAGAGGTTTTTGGCATTTTCTGTGGAACGCAGCCACATCACAGAAACCCCCACATGAGTTAAAGCACTTTTATCCCCAAGAATGGCTGCACCCTCTGGAAACTTGGGAATGTCAGCCTGCATGAATCCAGGCAGCCCCAGAGGTGCCCTTTCCTGGGCCAGGTGGGTTTGCTGTGTCTTCTGCTCCTGCCTCAGGTCATCTGTTCTCCTAGGGAAGCTGCCCTCACCCTGGCACAGGAAGTGTCAGAGACCAGATACAATACCTTCTAGCCATTCCAGCCATGGGATCTGAGCACCCACACTGTCCTGCTAAACAAGCCCCACAAGTCAGAGAAAGACCAGCCATCATGTCTTCCATCCTATACCCTGGTCACCTGGCTGTGCAGCCAGTGGTCTCTGGAATCTGCATCATGTGCCCTCCCAGCAGCAGTAGCTTCTGTTAGAGTTGGCCCAGCAACAGGAGACCCTGTAACACTCCCACCCAACCCTTCCCATCCTGCCGCCTTACAGAGGTGACACCGGCACATGGTGTGGACGGGTGCCAGTGAAGCCTAGCATTCTGGGCAGAGAGCAGAGCCCTGCCCAGCACTACTCAGCCTTGCCAAGGTGCTGCTTTTGCCTGTGCTCTCCCTGCATACACAATACCTGCTGGCCAGGAACAGGCTTATCCTGTGAGGGTTGCTGGGCTGAGGTCAGACTGCCTGCCTTTGATCCCCCTTTATATTGCAGCCAGTCTCTGGGGCCCAACCAGCCTAACTTTCCAGAAGCCTGTGTGCTACAGTGCAGGAGCCCCTCCACATCTGGGATTGAGCCCTTGTGGCAATTCGGTGTCACCCCTGTCATGCCTGTGCTGGTGTCTGCATGGCCCAGGATGCAGCTTGGCTTTGAGTTCTAGCCGCTTCCTCATGCTGTAATGTCTCCTGTGTCTTGGCCACACGTGGCCCTGCAGAGGACAAATCGCCCTGGGAGTTGGAGTTCTCCACATGCTGGGGAGCAGCACCACCCATCTGCCACTTTGATCTGGGCCCAAAGGGACTCAGCTGTCACTGAGATTTCCATGCACCAACCTGCCCCCAGGGACAGAAGACACCCCAGTGGATGGCCACCCCATGAGATGCCCCTTGTACCTAGGGGCAGCTGGGCCCAGGTTACAGACTATTTGTTTTTTGAGATGGACAGAGCAGGTGGTTCTCTTGATGCTGCTTCCCTAAGAGAAGGAATGAAGGCTGGGAATTTGGTTGTCGTCTATAGTGGTATAGACAGAGTCTGTAGGCATTCCATCCCAAGGCTGCTGCCAGGTCTTCAGGGTGGAGATGGAGGACAGAGAGCGGCTCCCTACAAGGACTTGCCTCAGCTGGCAGCAGCTGCTTACGCATTGTGGGCAGGACCACACCAATGCTGCTGACCCAGCTTGTGGGCACCTGAAGCGCCTGAGTCCTCTACCTCCACCAGGCTCTGAGGACATGGAGATGGCATAGGTGCTCAGGGCAGGCAGCTATACTTTCCCAGCCTCCCTCCAGAGGCTGCTCCTTAAAGGCCCATTTACTGGGTGGTACCCAGCACAGGGCTGTCTCTGAGTGGTGTCCCTGAACTGAGCAGTTGGAAATTCCCAGACCATCAGGAGGAGACCTCTACACCCTGATTGTGGTGCAGCCACCCCTAATCAGTGCAGACCACCCTCCACAAGGTTTGAGATCTATGGGACATGGGTGGCTCCAGGTCCAGCAGAGAACCAACTTGGTGGGTGGCATGAACAGACAGGATTGGGCTGAGCTGGCTGGTACCTATGTGACAGGAGCCTGTGTAGAAAAGTACAGTCCCATGAGCCCTGTGCTCTGTCCTTTCAGGCTTATTCGGATTGCACTGGTGTAAAGACCCCTCTCCCTTCCTGCATGCAGCTTGTCAGGGGGACCAACATGTCAAGCTGGGCAGAGTCCCAGGGGGCAGGCTAGGGCCTGGGATCCTGGGCTTGGGGCTGCTGCTGAGGTACAGGGCGAGGAGCAAGCTGGCGGCAGTGTGAGGGAAGCATGACTGTGTGTTTTCCTTGCTCTTAGCCCTGATGAAGAGTCCTCCCAGAGGTTCATTCCCTTTGTTGGGGTAAGTACCGTCACTACACCCACTGGGCCAGGGTGCCTTTCCTAAGAGTGCTTTTGCATTGGCCCGTGTATCCCACAGCCTCCTCCCCACGTGAGCCCTGGACTGCCTCAAAGCCCACCGCTCCCTTCCCATGTCCAAGGGGGTGGCACCCATCTAGGAAGGGCCTGTGCCCATTTATGCACATTGCCCTGGGCATTGGCTCAGGCCCAGGCGGTACTGGCCTGGCATCACAGCTCAGGGCAAGAGTTGGGGAAGGGAGGGCCTGGCCAGCTTACTCCGACTGGGCTGAAGCTGTGGTTCCTCCTGCTGGAAACTGAGGGCACCTCATGTTTCCTCCCAATCCCATCTGTATGGCCAGCACTTTGTCATTGTATACTGTAGCCAAGGGTCTATTGGGAAGCCCTACAATAGTGAGACCAATGGCTTCCAGGAAGGCAAGGGGTCTGGATGGCAGCTGAACCACAGGAGTGACAGCATTCACGTAGAGACGCCTCTCCCATGAGCCTCTGTGTGGTGACAAGTATACACTGTGCTCTCAGGCACTTGGCCTATCGCCGCATATGAAACAGTGTCAGTTCACTAAAGTGACACAGCCTCGGGGAGAGTGGCTACCACACTGCACAGTACAAGTCTAGCGTGGTTCCTCTCAGCCCACACAGGCATCTGGCTGCATGTAGGATGTGTGTCCCTTACGCCTGCCTCCTAGTCTTGGCCAGCCAGTCACCATCTTCTCTTAGATCCTAGGCATGGTAGTTTGGTAGCCGTAGGGACCAGGCAGGGCGGGGAGCCAGCTGACACCCATGGCCTGCAGCAATGTCTGTCTTTCCAGGTTGTGAAGGTTGGGATTGTGGAGCCATCCTCTGCCACGTCAGGTAACTTCATCTCTTCCTGAGGCCCTCACGTGAGGCCCTTGGTTCAGATGGTCCCACAGCGTAGTGGTACCCTGAGCCTAAAGGCCTGGTGCAGCCTTGCCACTTCTCATTTGGCCATGCAAAACTCCTGGACAAGAAAGAACCTCCTGCCATCCTTGGCCTAGGCCTCTCTGCCTGCACCCACTCTTCCCTGCTGCCAGAGGCGCTATACCCATCTCTTCAGATCTTGGTCCCCAGGCCTGCCCACAGCCTCACTGCTGGTCTATGACTTCTCCTAAAGGTGACTCAGATGATGCAGCCCCCTCAGGCCCCAGTGTGCTCTCCTCCACTCCACCGTCCACGTCGCCTGCAGCCAAGGAGGCCTCACCTACCCCGCCGTCCTCCCCATCAGTGAGCGGAGGCCTATCCTCCCCTAGGTAAATGGCATAGCCTCACCTTGCTTGTTCTGAGCTGACACCTGCCTCTATGTGTTCAGCCCATCAGAGCCCTGAGGTAGAGGTCCTGGCTCCCCACCTAGAACCAGAATGGAATGGGCCCAGCTTTTCCACTGTGTGCTGTGGGGGACAGACGTTACTGAGTTGTGAATGCTCATGGGCTACTGGGCTACTTGGAGCCTGCCTGCAACTCTTCATAGGGCACCTTTCCCAAGAAAGGCTGAAGGGGGGCCAGGGAGATGGCTCAGTAGAATAAGTGCTTGCCTGGCAAACGCAAGGGTCTGAGTTCAATCCCCGGGTCCGCAAAAAAAAAAAAGGCTGAAGGATGTGGGGCAGCTATAGGTTCTGCAAACCCCCTACTGGGGGCAGCTTCCAGACCACCTAGGTCTGGCTCACTGCTCACCCAGAGCCAGGTTTCTTTCTTTCTTTTTTTTTTTTTTTTTTTGTGGAACCAGGGAATTGAACTCAGACCCTTGTGCTTGCCAGGGAAGCACTTATTCTACTGAGCCATCTCCCCAGCCGAGAGCCAGGTTTCACTGGGTGTTTGTACCCCCCATGGGCCTCAAGGCCCTGGCAATGCCAACTTCTCATCCAAGACTCCTCAGCCAGTCTCTCATGGTGTCAGTGCCAGGGCCACAGGCATTCCAGCCAACCCGCATGTAAATGGCTCTACAGAATATCCTGTAGTCCATGGCCAGCACATTGAGACAGGTATTGGCCAGACCTTTGCCTGTGACAGCAATTCTGCCATCCCCAGAATGGCAGCTGTGGGTGTGAGCACCTTACTCTGCCTTTCACAGCCAAGGTGTCGGCGCCGAGCTCATGGGACTACAGGTGGATTACTGGACAGCAGCACCTCCTGCAGACAGGAAGAGGGATGCCGAGAAGAAGGACCTGCCCACCACCAAAAACACGCTCAAGTGCACTTTCCGGTCCCTCCAGGTCAGCAGGCTGCCCAGCAGTGGCGATGCCACAGCCACACCTACCATGTCCATGACTGTGGTCACCAAGGAGAAGAACAAGAAGGGTGAGGTGGGGAGGTGGGCTGATCAGGGCTGGACAGTGGGAGGGGATACCCCTTGGTGACTGGGAGATGTCACCCACCAGTACACTTGTATGGTTCCCAGTAAACTTGAGGGGCCCAAGGCAGACCTCAGAGTGGAGGCTGGACAGCATGCTGGATGGCACAGCCCCCGGGCCTCGGCACACAGGGAGCCTGAGCAGCCCTCCTGCCCTGCTCACCTGGGGGAGCTCTGGCCAGCTGGGCTAAGGGAGCAGTAGGCCACAATAGGGCCCTTTTCCTCCCAGTGATGTTTTTGCCCAAGAAAACGAAAGACAAGGACGTGGAATCCAAAAGCCAGTGTATCGAGGGCATCAGCCGCCTGATCTGCACAGCCAAGCACCAGCAGAACATGCTGCGGGGTGAGCACGGTGGCCGGGATGTCGGGTCTGGTCTGTGACCCATGGTCTCATTTAGTTCTGTGTATAGAACAAAAGCAGAGCAGAGGGTGGCTCTTGGGGTGACTTTTAAAATCCAGCACAAAAACTGCCAGTTTTGCTACAAAACACACATTACACAGTTCATACTCAGAATACCTCCCAATGAAGCAGGCACTTGAGTGCACCAAACAGCTTTTCCAATTTAAATAATTTTTAATTCTTTCTACATTTTTCAAGAACTGATTTGTGCATTTCCAAGTGTTTGACAGAGGGTCCTCCCAAGGAACCGATCCAGAACATGGATCTCTCTGTTTTCCTTTCTGTGAGCCAAGTCTGATGGCCCCTAGATGGCGGCCAGCCCGGTCTGGCCATAGCAACTTTCAGGTGGAGGTGTTTTCAGTGGGTTTGGGGGTCTCACACCTGACCCCTATGGGCAGGAACTTGTTGGCAGCAGCTTCTGCTTAACCGCTGGCCAAACTTCTCTTGTTCATAGAGGGCAGGCATCAGGAAGGGCCTGGCAATCAAGGCTCCTGGGCAATCTGTGCCTCCAGGTTTGGGCTCCTTCAACTTCTGGCCCGCAGGGAGGCCGTGGGCTGGGTGGGTAGGGTGGTCAGGCAGTCAGGCAGCCCTCTCCCACAGTCCTCATCGACGGCGTGGAGTGCAGTGATGTCAAGTTCTTCCAGCTGGCCGCCCAATGGTCCTCGCATGTGAAGCACTTCCCCATCTGCATCTTCGGACACTCCAAGGCCACCTTCTAGCCCTACTCACCGAGAGGCCACCACAGGACCACACAGGACCACGGAGAGGCCCATGTTTCTGTTAACATTTGAGTTTACTACAAAGACAGATCCTTAAAAACACAAAGAAACAGTCTTAAGTCCGAATGTGCTCACAGCTGGAAACTAAGGTCAGCTCCCTGCTGGGTGCTGAGTAATCGCTCTGCTTATTAACCAGACATTTGGCCCAGCAAATGCAAGGCTGTGGGGCCCAGAGAGGTTTTGCTTCATCTGCAGGAGCCCCCAGAGCCTACAGCAAGGAGGGTTCTGCCTGAGTCCTGCCCTTTCCAGAAGCCAGGATACTGCTTCCTCTGGAAGCTTTGAGCTTGGTGGCAAGAGGCCAAAGGTTGCAGGCATGCTCAGCTTCCTGACAGAGGACACCCCCAATCCCAGGACCACCCATGTGGGGCTCCCAATAAACTCCAGCCTCCAAGCAGAGGTTTTATAGTAGCAGATCTTTCTAATGCTCTCAAATACACGTTACTGTATAGCTGCCAAACAGTTGCTCTTCTGAAGTCCCCAGCAGGTCTTGCCCTACTCCAGCCCCTCACTGGTCAGAGACTGAGGCTGTGCAGACTTTGTCAGTCCCAGAGGTTCCCTACAGATAGCCCACTGTCCAGGCTGTTCTGCTGTACCATTTGCACACCCCACTTGCCTGCTGTCCAGGACTGGTTCTGGTTCTGCTGGTATCTGGGTTGGGATCCAGGACTCTGGTCACCTGGTGAGCAGGTGTCCATGGAAGACCTTCAGCAACTGTGTGGGCAGAGGGAGGTCAGGCAGGCTGGCCTGTCACAGGGCCAGGCACACTTGCAGTGCTGGGGCCCTCCTGGCCAAACTCCTGAGAGCAGCATGTTGCATTAGGACCCTACCCTGGGGGAAGCCCTACCCTAACTCGCCCATGAATGAGAAGGCTGTCCACCTGACAGCCAGCCCCAGCAGATGACAGCTCAGTGCTGCCTCCCCCACGAAGTTCACACCTGGGGTCTCCTAAGAAAGGCCACCTAGCCTCTTCCTTGGCTATGAACACTAGTGACCCTCCCTGCCGGGGAAATAGCTCAGTAGAGTAAGTGCTTGCCTGGCAAGTACAAGGACCTGAGTTCAATTCCCGGTTCCGCAAAAAAAACACCAACTAGTGACCCTCCCAGAAGCTCTGGGCCTGGTGTCTTGAGAGCTGTATAAGCTTACTCAGAAAACAGTGCCCAACTGCAGGACTGGCTTAGTCACAGAGGAGTCTCCATTTTCCTGGGAAGAGGGTGGTCCATTTCCTCACCAGTTATCTACCTGCTTACCTGTTCCCTTCTCAGGTGGCTGAACAGTTTGTCCAGGGGGGGAACCCTGGGGATAGCAACTAGGTCTGGGTTCTGCCCCAGTGCCCTGGATGCAAATCTTGGACAGCCTGAGAACGTCCTTCTGATTAACCCCTGTGGCTCCCCGGTCACCTAGGAGTAGAGCCTGAGGCACTGCCTGGCAGATAGCCTCTGGAGAAAGGGATCAGGCTAGCTCAGTGTCAAGGCCTTCAGAGCCTATTGTATCTTCTTACCCAGTTTCTTCCTAAAAATCACATTGGTAGGAAAGGAGCTGCCTAGGCACCTTGCTGTGGGCAGCCCTTCCTGGGAGACCACCTCCCCTGGGATTGGCTCCACAGCCCCACCCTTGCTCAGGTAAGGAGAGTGGAGAGGGTCTGGGTGGAACCTGCGTCCAGCAACTACAGAGAAGGCGCCCCTCTGTCCTCGTGTCGAGTGCTGTGAGGTCTCAACTGCAGCAGTGCGGATGGACACCTGGGCTATGCTCCCCTCCCCTTGGTTCCGTCAGTTGGAGGGATGGTTTCATTTCCCCTGCCTACCTCATCGAGCTGTTCTACGGATTCATGGAAAAGCACTTTGACCTCTGGAGGGGTGAGAAGCCAAAGCCATCTGACAGCTGATGTGACCGGGGCAGTGGGAGGCGGGAGGTGGGCTTCCCAGCCCTACCAGTCACGGCCGGGCCGGACCGGGCCAGGCCGGCAGCCGCTGACCATGGCCTTGTCTTCGTCCCTTCCGGCGCCGAGGTCCCCGGGGGCTCGGGCTGCGCCCAGCTCGCAGTGACTGTTTGGTGTCTACGGTGTTACGTGTTGCTAATTTTTTTAATGGGAAGCAGGATTAATGTAAATAGCAGACGCTAATCTGTCCCATGTGGACGACTCTAAGGTGCTGAAGCGACATTAATAAACTGAAGGCACTCTTGCCGCTCGCTGCTCTGCTTCTTCTCTGCCACGACACGAGGGCGCGGGGCGGAAGCGGAAGCTCGGGCGGGGCGCGGGGCGCGGGGCGGGAGCTCCTCGGGCAAGGGCCCTCCCCGCGGGCCGCCGTTGCGCGGCGCTCTTGGCCTGCCGTTTGGTGCTCCTCCGTGGTACCCGCTTCCTGAACCGCATAGACTCGTCCTCCTCTGTCTCCCGCCGCACAGACTCGGCGCTGTGTCGCGTCCCCGCAGGCTCGGTCGTCGTCCCCAAGGCCCCGCCCCCTTTGTCCTCGACCCTATAGGTCCCATCCCTCTCCGTCCCTGGGACCCCTCCCCCCTCTGTGAGTCCGCCGGGACACTCCCTGGCTTCCTTGTACCCTCCGCGGAGCAGACCCCGGGAGCGGGTGGGAAGGAGGGTTGTGGCCCTGGTTGTAGGTGTGTGAGTTTGGAGGAGAGCTCATAGGAGGGAGGGAGGCAGGCAGGCAGGCAGGCAGGCAGCTGAGGGCTGGCACCCCTCGAGGGAACCGGGGAGGCCGTGCAAAGCTGGTCTGCGGGTCTGCACTGGGCAGGACTGAGGCACTGAAAGGCAGTATCTCCCTCCACCTCAGGGGTCAAGGGCTGTGGGAGCAGATCACCCCGAAGCCCCCTCTGGGGGCAAGGAACTGGGCAGGGGCTGGAAGATGCTCACAACAGAGTTTCACCTTGCTGCCTCTTGGGAGCTGGGGACCCACCCCTACTCTATGCTGCTCCACCCCCAGAGTCCCAAGGTGCAGACCCACCTGCAGGAGTAGAGATGGACAACAGGCAGATGTGTCCCCCGGGGAGGACCTGGCAGTCACAGCATCCTGAGGAGTGCAGGCAGCCCCCTCACCCTTGCAGCCCAATGGCAGCCTGGGGCCAGCCTAGAGCCCAGGGCAACGCTCAACAAGGACTGCAGACACAGGACTGGGTAAGCAGGAGGCTCTGGAAGGAGGCTGGGGCGGGGCTGGTTTCAGGGAATAGACGAGGGGCCTCGAGCCCAAGGAGAGACCCGAAGGGTACTGTGGTGAAAGGTGAGAGGCTCTGCCCATTGCTGGATAGGCACCAAGATAGCTTATACCCTGTTTGCCTCTCCCTGCTGAGTACAGTGAGGCCAGAAGAGGGTGCAAGACAAACCTGTCACATTCCTCACCAGTGCCTGTTATCACCCAGTGCCCACCGCCTGCACCATTCTTAGTACAGAAGGTGTTCTGAAGTGGCAGAGAGAATGAGCTCGCCACAGCAGAGTGCCCTCCTGACCAGGTAGGCAGCTGTGACTGAAACACTTGGTAGCTCTGCCTGTGACAACCCCAGGCTAGAAGCAAATCCCCTGTACCCCACCCCTGGACAGCAAGTAGTGAATGTGGTTTACACATAATAGTAGTGGAGAGAGGAACAGATCCAGCTGTGTACACCTGGAGACATGCCATAGGCAGAAAAAGCCAGACCGTCTGTGTGGTTCTACTTTGGGAGGGGTCCAAGCCCAGCCAGATGGTCCAGCCTGGGACCAGACAAATACTCAAGAAGCTTCTGATCTTGTAGCCAGGCCACTGTGGGGAGCCTGCCAGGCCGTGTGCTGCTGTGCATGTGTCTGCAGATGTGATCACTAGGTTAGAAGAAGCAGAGAAAGAATCTAGCTCCCAGCTGTGTGGCCATGTTACGCCTTCCTAGGCGTGTCCTCTATTACCCAGTGCCTTTGAGATCTCTGAAAGGGTGCCAGGCTGACCTGTGTGACAACCAGCTAGGAGATGCCTCAGCTTTTGTGAGGCCAACACTCTGTGACAGGCAGTCTAGACCACAGGTGCCAGCACAGCCACCTGGTGAGGACTGCTCAAGAAGATGGATGTGTGGCTTCCATCCTGAGTGGTGGGGGTGAAGAACACAGGGCCCTCTGGCTGAAGAGGCAGGGATAGAAGGAAACACTAGATCTACACTGGGATGCTGCCTGGGACAGGGAGTTGCTGCAGTGTCTGACACCATGATCCTCCTCTGAGTTTGGCTCCTATGTGATGTTCCTGGGCCTTGTCCCTTCACTGTCCTCTAGCCCTGCTGCTGGCTGTGGCCCTGAGAGGTACCTAGGTTGTACTCTTTTCATCTTATGAGGTGTCTCGTGTTTGTTCCCCAGGCGTAGAATGTTCTTCAGGGTCTTTCCACAACGGGTCTCCTCTTAGGTGTCACCTCCTCAGGTACCCTAGCCCATCGAGTATAAGTACTTCATCCCTCCCTCTTTAAGTCTGAGCCCCCAGAGCCACCTCCTCTGCTGTGCTTGACATGGGCCTCAGTGCCACACACATAGCTGGACGCATGTTCACAGAAGACAGCAACCTGGAGCTGAGGCTAGAGGCCAAGGAGACCACCCCAGCAGGTGGTCCCCAGCTGTCCAGCCCAGAGCAGTGGGCAGAGCTCCAGACACAGGACTTATGCTTCCTGACAATCCAGCCACGTGCTTGCAGAGAGCTTGAAGTGAGATGGGAGCCACAACACAGAAAACTGGGGGAAGGGTTGAGTGGGAAGGAACAGAAGTGGGGTACCTCCCTCCACCCACATACCTAATTCCAGCCTCATCTTCCCGAGTGAGCGAGCAGCCCAGGAGCACTGGCCTCCTGAAGCCCAGCCCATTGGAAGATGTGTGACTGTCTTGGTTAGTCTGGAAGAACTGACTGGAATCTATGCATGTAAACAGACTTAGAAGGAGAAGACAGGTATAGTCCATGTAGATACAACAGCAGGCTTGAGGAGATTAACTAGTGAAGAAGGCCTATTCACATTGGACAACAGGAGTAACGTTAGAAACTATGCAAAACCTGTTAGAGAGGAACTTTAAAACTTCAGAAGAGGGGACAGGGAGATGGCTCAGTGGAATAAGCGCTTCCCTGGCAAGCGCAAGGGCCTGAGTTCAATCCCCAGTTCTGGAAAAAAAAAAAAAAACCCTGCAGAAGAAGCAGCGATGTTATGTTCATGACCAGAAATACTTGCCAGCATAGGTTCTCTGGAGGCATTACATGATTCTGTATATCACAATCAAAATATTAAACACTTAATTCCTGTTTTGATCCCAGCAGACAGGGATTTGTGTCACACACCTTTGACTACCAGTCATGAAAACTAAGGTAGGGGGCTTGGGAGATGGCTTAGTGGAATAAGCACTTGCCTGGCAAGTGCAGGGCCCTGAGTTCAATCCCTGGTTCCACCAAAAAAAAAAAAAAAACCACCCTAAGATAGTATAAATATCTGGATAGGAAAGACTAAATTGTCACCATTTACAGAAATGTATTGCCTACTTAGAAAATCTCAAGTCAGTTAAATATATGCACATGAAAGAGGAAGGTTGATTGTATGATTACCATTTGAAATTTAGTAATTTCTTTTTTTTTAAACAAAGTTTTTTTAAAAATTTTATTTATTTGTGTGTGTGTGTGTGTGTGTGTGTGTGTGGCCAGCTCAGCCCACCAGGGGGCAGGGCTGGCTGGCATGTGGTACTGGGGGATTGAACCGCAGTCCCTGTGCTTTGCTAAGCTTGTTCTAAGTAGGTGCTTTAGTCCACAGAGCCATCTCCCCAGCCCCGAAATTTAGTAATTTCAATATACTAAAAATAAGCAACCAGAAACCGCAATAGGAAAGGATCCCATTTACTGTAACAACATGTACTATGAAATCCCTAAAATCTGGTTGTTTCAATGTTGCGGTGCTCACCTATAGTCCCAGTTACTTAGATAGCTGAGGCAGCAGAACTGCAGGTTTAAGGCCCACCTGAGCCACTCACTGAAACCCTATTTCAAAAAAAAAAAATTAAAAAACCAAAAAGTGTTGCAGATATCACTTGATGGTAGAACATTTGTCTAGCATGTATAAGGCCCTAGGTCCAACCAGGCATGGTGGCACACATCTATAATCTCAGCACTTGATAGCCTGAGGCAGGAGGGTCACTGTGAGTTCAAGGCCAGTCTGAACTGCATAGTGAGACCCTGTCTCTAAAAGACAAAGTGAAAAGGCCTCAGGTGCAATCCCCAGTACCACAAAAGATAGAAAAAAGGTGGGGGAGGGAGGAAGAAAACACAAAGCTAACACGAAGTACTACTGAATAACTTAACAAGATTTTGTGGAAATGTGTACCATATTATTGGATGGGCATACTTAATTTGGGGAGGGGTGCTGGAGATAGAACTCAGGACCTAGCACTATGCCACATATACTTTTTGTTTGTTTGTTTGTTTGTTTGTTTGTTTGTGTGGTGCTGGGGATTGAATTCAGGATCCTGTGCTTGCCAGGCAAGCACTTATTCTACTGAGCTGTCTCCGCAGCCCACACTTTTATTTTTTTGAGTTAGGATCTAAGTCACTAAATTGTCCAAGCTGGGCTTGAATTTGTGATTCTCCTACCTTCAAACTCTCAGAGTGCTGGTATTATACTACTACATCTGGCTA